CTTATCGGATCTTTTTCATTCAAGGCTTCTTTTCTTAATTTGGTAATTTCAGTTTCTATCTTTCCTATTTCCAAGTCTATTTGCTTTATTTCTTCAACCCACTGATAAGTTTCTTTTCCTAACGAAGTCTTTATTTTGTCCAACTCTTTTTTAACTTCATTAATTATTCTCTCAACATGCTTATTTGAAGCTTCATCAGCTCAAATGATACAAATTCCGAACATGGAACTAGCCGGACCAGTTTCTATTTTTAAGCCAGATTCAGCCTCTTCAACTTGTCTTAGGAAGTTTTCTTTTTTGGCGTCAAATTCTCCTTTGCTGGTAGTGTCTAATAGTGCTTTTTTAATATTTCCCAAGTGTCGATTTTGTTAAAAGCGTTAGCGAGCGTTTGGCAGTCTTCATGTAAATTGTGGTTAGCGCCTCAATTACAATGGCCTCCTTCTCAATAAGTAGCATCATTAGCAAATTTCTTATTCATTTTGCGTATTTTACCTACTTTTTTAAATCTACTTTCTAATTGTTCGGCTGTATACTTTGTCATATTTCAAATTCTATTTCTTTCTCATCAATAAAAAAACCACACTAAACATAACTAATACGTGGCCCTTCCCGACAATGAGCACAATTCTCACAAAAACAAACATGACATTCTCCTCTTCGGGCTTTAAACCTTTCTATAGCTCACTCTAATTCTTCTCAATCTACAATGGGTTTCAAACTAGTATGTCCCAAATTCCTTAATAATTGACCTAAACGAAATTGGATATCAGGACCCTCCATCATTCGCACCTGGTTTTTTATCTCTTCCGAAGCCTCAATTGGTTTGGTAAAAGGTCTAAATACTTGGTTTTTTTGGGAGTTAGTTATCTTTTTTTTTAACTCCCCCCATTCTCTCAGAACTTCCTCCCTCAACATATTATCCTAATTGTTCCCCTAATTCTTGAAATTCTTTTATCAACTTTTCCAGAACTTTTTCATTCTCATTATTTTCTTTCATCTGCAATTCTAAGTTGCGGTTGCTTTCTTGGAGTTTAGTATTAGTTTCCTGAATGGTTTGGTCTTTGGCTTGTAATTTAGCATTAATTTTCTGTTTTAGAGTAGTAAATTCTTGCGTTGCTTGGGTTAATTTCTCTTTAATTGTCATGGTCTAAATCTTTATTCAAATCTTGGATATTTTTCAATAATTCATCCAAATCTTTCTCTAAATTGGGTTCGCGGGATAATTGGGCTTGCAAATCTTTTATTTGCTTGGTTAATTTACTTTTCAACAACCCTAAATTCCACTTCTTATTTATATCAATCCCTTCCTCCTTGGCTCATTCTGCTACTTGATTTCACTGCTGGATAAGATTAGTAATTTGCTTATCAGATAAGTCAGTTTGCGTCCCTTGGGAATGTGTTAAAGGAGGAGACGACAGACTGTTTTTTTTCTGTCTAGGCAAGTAATAAAAAAAGTAGTAAAGGAGAATAATTATTAGGGTAATAAACAAAAGATTATTCATAATGCGACTTATTTTTATTAGTTAATCAAACTGCTAAAGCATAAACCATCAGGAGCAAAATAATTGGTTCATACTCAATTCACCAATTAGAAGTAGGAGCAATTGGTTCTCGGTCCTTATTCTCAGCATTTAGCAACTTTATTTCTAACCTGGCCTTTTCACTCTGGCTCTGTCCTAATTGTTCTTGGAGTTCTAAGCGTTTTTTATTAATCGTGCGTAATTTGGTTTCCAATCTTTCAATTTCCTTTACTCCATAACCAATATTGCTTTCTAATTCCGCACTTACTTTTTTCTTTGCCTCCTGATATTCGCTAAAATCTTTGAGTTTGCTAATTCGCAACTCTAAAATTTGGTCTTCTAATTCACTAATTCTGGCTTTGAGTTCAGCAGGATTATCTTCGGAGGCTTCGTAAAAAATTTCTGGTTCTGCTTGGGCCTTTTTTAACTCTTGATTTTCCTTTTGGAGAAGTGATAAATTACTTTCTAATTCCTTTACTCGGGTTTCCAGTTTGTTTGTCGGGGAAGTAATATTATCGGCACTTTTACTTCTTTTGAGTTGACTGGGTTTTACTCCTGGCTTAACTTTCTCTTTTATCTCCTGTCGCAATTGTTCCTTAGTCATACTTGAATCGTTTTTTGGCTTGTCGTTTTTGTTTACGCGAGAGAATAGGAATTTCTGGGGTGGGGATGGTATTACCTAACTTATCAGGAGTAGCAGTTGGTTCAATTTGTGGACTTGGACAGGAGACTTTTGATGAAGACGGGTTAAAATTATTCAACTCTGAATCTGACTCATCCAAATTACTCCCAGCATCAAAAAGCACTTTATTATCATTATCAGATTGGGATGTAAAAGTAGGTTGGTTTTGTTGTCAATATCAGTAAATAATTACTAAAACGGCAATCAGGATTATTATTTGCGTGTTGGTCATAATTAGCGGGGTCAGGAGGTTAATTGGCACATTAAGCAAAGATTAGAATCCAAAAATGGCCTTCTTTTCTGACAGAGTAGGCATTTATTCATTTTTATTTTTTAACTGTTCTACTTCTCGTTTCAAATCGTCAATCTGCTTTTGCTCCTTCCCATTTTTCTGCTCCAATTTCAAAGTGCGGTCTTTGAGGTGAATGGTATAGCCCGCAAAAATGGCTAAGGAGAGTAAATTAGTAAAAGCCAAAGTAATTGCTATTTCACAACAAGTAATCATTAATCTTTTAACGGCTTCAATAATTTAGTCAAACATTCTCCTACTTGCTGATAAGCGACAATCAATTTCTGCACTTCCTTAGTGCGTTGTTCTCTTAACGCGGGAGCCTTAGTTTTACATTCTTTGCAACAAGCAGATATTTTTTTCTTTTTTCCGGTTTCATCTCTTCAATCCTGCTGAGCCGCAGTTAAGAGGCATTTGTAATAGTCTACTGGTGATGGTTTACTCTTTTTAGTTTTTGTCTTTTTGGCTTTAATAGCCACAGGTAAATTATTTATTTTAGGCATAATTTTTATTCAATTAAATTAGTAAAATAGGAAGGGTCATAGCAGGAATAATCACTTACGCTTTCAATCAAAGATTTGACGACCATTCGACAATATTCGAGGGCAATTTCTTCAACCAAATATTCTTGGTCGGGTAAATTTTCCTCACCATATTGATTAGACATATCGGCTAATAAAGTGCGGTAATCGACATCTTTATGTAAGAATAATCCAGTTAATTTTTGCTGCTTGTCTTCGTAGCGTCAAGGTTCGGTGATTAGATTTAAGTGGGGAAGGGGAAGATTAGCAGTTAAAAGTTGATAAATTTTTTCTTGGGCCAATAAGTCAATTTCATCTCAATATTTTTCTTCTTTTGTTAATTTAGTAGATTTTTTAGGCATAGTTTTAGTTAAATAGCACAATTTGCAAGGGCGTTTAGGCTGACCAGGGAATTTGATTCAGCCTGATCCATCACACTCACTACAGGGGCTATTTCGAGCGATATAGCGGCTATTATTGACCGCACAATTTGCACAGTAGTCAAAATTCTTGTAAGTGTGAAAAGTATCACCACAACCATGACATTCTTTGTGCTGGCGTTTTAGTTTAGGCATTTTTTAAATAATTAGCGTAGATGTAAGCCAGGGCTAAACCAGCAATTATGCCTACCGCTAAATAAGTATATTTGGATTCTTGGATTTTATTGAACATAGTTTTAAAAATTTTCTTCATTAAGAGTGCTTGGGTGTGAGTTCTGGGGTAGGGTGTAAATATAAGGGAGTAAGTAGCCTACTAGGATTCCGAGGGCGAGATATTTGAGGTTTTTCATGTTAGTTATTAGATTGTTCTGCTTCTAGGCTACCGGACACGGTGATGGTGGTGCAGGCCATAATTAAGAGAACCAGACCGACTGTGATACCAATAGTAAGCAGCGTGCTTTTTTTGATTAAAGGGGTAGTAAAAGAGAAGGGGATTGATTGGGTTTGGGTTTGGGTTTGGGTTTGGGTTTGGGTTTGGTTTTACTATTGGCGTCGGCCGTTAAGTGTTTTTGTAATTCTTGGAGTAGTTCTGGTTGGGTGAGGGTCATAAGAGATAAGCACTAAATCTTTTTGAATAATTTTTTGAAAAGCAGGTCGCATGTGATTTCAATTGACTAATTCCACAGTAAAAGGTAAATCAGATTCTTCTAATTCTTCTTCAATTTCAACTAATATATAACTGGGAATTTCTTCCTGAAAACAAAGATCTAAATCGGAATACTGGCGAGCAGTGCCTTTTACTCGCGAACCGTAAGCATAAAATTGGTAGGGATATTTGCTTAATATGCGAGTCAATATTTTTTTATCTTGATTACTCACTAACAATTCAGTCATGATTAGGATTTTATGAAAATTAAATAACTAGTTTATGGTAATTTTTCTAAATTTTTAATTAGCAAGTTAAGGTCTTTCAGAAATTTGGGTAAAACCGGATAAACTTTGTCCATTATTTCATCTTCGTAAGCATGAACCGTAATATTTCTTTTTTTCACGTAGTCAAATCAGCCTTTGAGATTAGAAATTAATCCTTCCCGAGCTGCTAACCGAAAAGTTTCTCGCGGACTAAAAACATCAATTCCGCGTAAGTTGAGAACCTTTTGTAATGTTTTTCAGGCTAATTCGTAGCAGACTTCAAAAGCCTGAATAGTGCCAGCAATTTCTAACTTACTTTCGGCTTCATGAAGAGCCTCATGAAGAAAGTCGCGAGTAGAAATTAGTTGCCGAATATCAACTTCGTTCAGGATTTTTTTTTTAACCATATATCAGTTTTTACTCTTTCCAAAAATAAGCAATCAACAATAGCAAAAATATTCCCACTGCCACTAGAATCTTTTGAGTATTATGTCAACGACTCAAATGCTCCTGTAATAGGGCTTTATATTCAACACTTTTGGTTTCAAAAGCAGTTTTCAATCTCTCATCATAAAAGGAGTTTAAGGCCCCTTTAAAATCGGGTAATCAATCTTTTATTCCCATAGTTAATTAATTTGCTCCTGCTGCTTTATATATTGATAAATAAATATCCCTACTACTGCCGTGGCAATTAGCGTGTAAGTGATTAGTTGAGTCGTTTCATTATTGGTTGGGGCCAAAGTTTTTAAATTACTGGCTAACTGTGAGAGAGTGGTCGGAATGGTTAATTGTGGTATTTGATTCGTCATGATTATTCAAATTCTCTTGTAAAACCTTGGTTTTGGCTTGTCTTTGATAAAATTTTGCTACCGGATCCAAATTAGTGGGGTCAGGGATAAACGACTGAATGGGATTAGTATTTAAGGGTTGCGGGTTGAGATTGGGGGGAGTAGGGACCGGATTAGTCTTAACTGTGGTTTCAGAAAGGCTCGGATTGAGTTGTGGCTCCGGTTCCTCATCTCGCTCAACTTCTCTAAATTTCCAATAAGCAGTCCCATTTTTATCCACCCGATAAGAACTCAAATATTTCTGATTAGCAATTTTTAATAAGAAAGTATTGGGTTTGTCTTTTACCGCTCATAACAGAATACTTACTTTTCTTGAGTCTGGGATGTAATTGGGTAATAAATGAGCGTTATGAGTGAAAAAATTATGGAGAGTTTGAGTGAGTAAATTGGGATCAAGAGAGTTCATATGATTAAAAGTGATAAGGGAAAATTTTAACTTTTAGATTTCACAAAAAGTTATTCGTCAGATTTTTTCTTAAATATTTTTTGGCTAATTTTTTGGAGTAAGCCCATCTGATAAATAGCGTAACCAGCCAATAGTCCAATGGTGAACATGGCTAATTTGCCCGTGGCTCAACTTTTTAAAGTATTTTCGTTATTTGGGTTCATAGTATTATTTGCGTAATTGTTGCACGGTCATATAAGAAACCGAAGCCAAACCTAAAACCACCGCAAAAAGAATAGTGCCGTATTTTAGTAATTGTTGGGCTGAATATTCTAATTGCTCACGGTCTAAGGTCGTGGGACGATTAAATTTAGACTCGGCTTGATAAGGTTTTCGTTCTAAATTTTCAATATTTGGCATATTATTTTTGTAAGGCTTGTAAAATTTCAGTTAGCAGTTGATTAGTTCTAATTTGCTGCTGCTTGAATTCTTGGACTTCTTTAATTAAAGGGGTGATATCAGGGAAAAAGGATATAATTAATTATTAGGGTCGGGGTTATTATAAGCAATTTCTTTGCGTTCTCGGGTATGGGTTAATTTTAGAGAATGAAATTGTTGGGTTAGGGATGATAATTGTTGCACCGCACTATTTTCCAACTGAGTTATTCGTTGGCTTAATGCTTGCTGATTATTAACTATTACTTGTAAATTGGCTTGGATATTAGTTAAGGCCATCTGCATTTCAGCCATGGTGCCGCCAATTTGAGGGACTTTTTGGCCGGTAAATTGTTCAAAGACCAAAGGGGCAAAGGTTAGGCATTGGCCCAAAGTTTTGATTCAACCTTCTTGGGTTGGGGAATTAGGGGAAATTTCTTGATTATTCATAGCGGGTTAGGCTAAATTTACTAAAGTGTTGAGACCGAAGGCCAGACCGCCAATGACGGGTAGATATTGAGTATATTGGCTATTCTTGGCTTGCTGTCCGTAGAAGTAAAGGGTGATACAGAGAGCGGCCACGATTAGTAAAATATTTTTTTATCCATGACGACGATATTTTTCAATTATCTGTTCATTTAAGGCTTGCTTAAGTTTACTAAAAGGTTCAAAATTGAGGCGATAATAGACATAGGTATTTTTATCTCACCCGCATTTTTGTTTTCTTTCTGATTTAGTTATTTTGCCTAGGCGGGCCAGGTGAATTGAGTCACCATCTTGGGCTTTTAGTAAAGAGTTAAATAAATCGGCTTGAACTATTTGGTAAGCCATTTTTAGGTCTTGGTTCGTATATCTCATCTTTATAAATCCATTTTCGGAGTAGCGGGATAAAGGAAGGGAGAATTCTTGGGGATGGGTGGTGCTGGGGTAGAGGGGAAGGGGTGAAAAAGTGATGTGTAGTGGAGAGTGGGAGAGGTAAAGAATTATTCAAAAATAAAATTCTCCTTCGTAAGATTAATAGTTTTAATCTCCACTCGCAACATGTCTTGAAATTCCACCACAAATTTGTGTAAATCAATAATTTCCTGAAATTCTTTTTTATCCAAGCAAGTTTGATGAAGTTTTTGACAATTTCTTTCTAAAAGGTTGACCACTGACAAAGGAATGGTTATTAAGTAATTAGCGTTGACAAAACTATTCAGATAAATTTTGCTATCTAAGCAAGTAGGTCTTCATTTAATTTTATGCTGACTGTAAAAAACCCATTCCCGAGTCCGGTTAGAAGTAATGGTAGAAAAGATCAGCAAATTTTTCTTTTTGTCTATTTCTTTTAACAAATAGTAGCAGTAGCCGGTAAGATTACATCTATTCTTAAAATAGTTGGTTTGAAAACAAATTACCTGATTAGGTTGGAATAAAGGAACTGCCATTAACTTAACTCTACTTCTTTAACAATATGACCTAATAATTTTTGATAAAAATCACTCAATTCCTTATTGGCCATGCGGTCATCATCTTCTTTCTTTTCAAATCAAGTTTTTCTTCAGGCGGGATCGTCATGAGAAAAAGTTTCTAAATCTTTGTCCGAATAATTTTTAAAGTAGTAGTAAGTTTTGCTAATTAGGCTCTTTTTTTCCTTATCCATTGAAATTTCTTTCGAAGCGACCGGTTTTCGGTAGAAACTAAAAAAATCGCGATAAATGGGATAAACTATTGCTCCATGATAGTAAGCCCGCAAGTCTTCAAAAAAAAGTGGCTCCCCGTGTTTGGCATAGTGAAGCATTTGACAAATATGGAGCATTTTATTTAAACGAAAATTACCGATAGTAGGTGGTTCGTATCCTTCTCCTTCTACTGTGTCAGGCATTTTCCCGTCTTGAAAATACTCCCTCTTAGGGTCAAATGACAGCAATAACTTAGCGACTTCGGTCGCGGAGATAGGTTGTCATTTTTTTTCATGATAAATTTATCTTACTTGTATACTTGTATATAATCTTTATTTACTACTAATTTAACAAAAGTGCTGCTGAACTAGACACTTTTTCTAAAAAATAGTCAAAGAATATTTCGAGTTTTCTTCACTATTTTTTAACTATTCAACAAATGTTTAAAGGAATTTTCCCGGGAACGAGGCAAAGAGCGAATCTGCTTTCTAATTTTTGCTTCTTGGCTGGCTAAAATACTTTTTCAATAGTGTTTCTCGTAATTATGTTGCAAATTCATTCAAAATTCTACTCCTTCGCTTCCTAAATTAAAGTAGAGGGTTAAACGCAAGGCTGTATCGGGAGTAATACCTCGTTTACCTTGGCAAATATCATTAATTCGGCGTACCGAGACCTTAATGCTGCGAGCCAATTCGGCTTGGCTAATGTCTCGCGGAATCAATAATTCTTCTTTCAGGATTTCTCCGGGATGAATAGCACGGGATAGGGTAAGGGTTTTCATAAAATTTAAAAAATCTAAAATTTAATTAATTTGAATATATAAAATTATTTTTTTAATCTCAACAGTGCTTATTTATTTCTACTTCATAAACATTATTGTCTTTTCCTCATCGAAGGCAAATGCGATATTGATCGTTGATTTTGATGGCATGCTGACCTTTACGCTCCCCTTTTAAAGGTTTGTAATTCTTTTTACCAAATATTTCTTCGCAAATTTTGGAGTTAGGGGCAGCCGCCAGAATATCCAACTTTCGTCAAACTCTTTTAGCGATCTGACGAAACTGGGGTGGAACATCTTTTAAACTTCGGGCCTCGAAAGTGGCTCGGCTGTACTTATCGTAAAAACTTTCTATCATATATGAACTATGGACGTACGCTATCCATATATTTATTTTATCTCCTCCATCCCCCCTCAACCTTCACCCTCTAACTCTCTTTTCAAACTTAAAAAGATATTTTTTTCCGGTAAAAATTTCTTTTTCTAAAATAGTTCAAACTTCTTTACTGACTAAATTTTGGAAAACATAAATTTTCTCAGAACTACTGGCAAATAAACTTTCCACCTGGATTTCTAAATAGTAAAAGGGTTGATTTTTGTGGGGTCCATTGCTTGATACTTGTCCTGGCAAGCAAAGATTAATAGTGCCTGATAATTCATGGAGTTTGCGGGGCTTGGTCATAAAAAAGAAAGTAAAAATATTATTCTCTACTTGCTTAAAGTTCTAATTCAATAGTTTCGATAAAAGGATCATTTAGTTTGTTAGTTCAATATTCCTCGTGGTCGTTAGTAATGCGAGTAAATTCCTCTTTCGAAAAGCAAAATCTCGGGCATTCGCTACACAAGTGATAACGATATTTATGAGCACTTATTGTTAAAAGAATTAAGCGGGGACGGCTAATAAAGGAAGAATTGGGTAGGCAACCGGGTAAGTCAACAATTTCATAATTAGAAATAAGTTGTTTTTGCGAGCCAAATTTTCTTTGGTGACGAGTAGTGATAATAAACATTTCTAATAATAGATCAGGATTATTCTTGGGCTTGGGTTTTTTAGTTACTTTGGTTACTAAATAATATCTTTCTCCACGAAGATCCTCGCCAGTTTCTTCATTAATATAACCTAAATCAATTTTGATAATTTGCGGGCTGGATATTAGTTTGAACCTTTTTTTATTTCGTTTTTTCTTTTTTGTTTTCTTAGAATTCTTTTTGGCTCTTCCCATTTTTTATAATCCCAATTTCTCCACAATATGAGAAGCAAAACGTTGGTAATAATTTAGCAACAGTTGGCTTTTTCGCATTTGCCTGGTACTTTTGCCGTCTCAACTTGCTTTTCAGGCTGGGTCCGCATGAACAAATTCTTCTAATTCCTCATTGCTATAAGATTGGAAGTGGTGGAATATTTTGTCCAAAAATTTCCGATGAGAGGCGGTTAGGTTATCTGATATATTATTGGGTTGCTTAACTAGAAAATGGAAACGACGATAAACATCATAGACTATTCCTCCATGTTCAAAGGCCAACATAGCATCGGAAAATAATCATTTGCCATATTTAGCCGCATAAAGTATTTGGGATATGTGCAATAATTTATTAAGGCGAAAATTGCCAATAGTGGGAACAGCAATGCCCCTTAATTTTTTTGCTTTCTCTTCCTTAAACTGTTTTCTTTCCGGATCCAAACTAAGAAAATATCTAGCTATTTCTTCAGCAGAAAGAGAGATTTCTTTTTGCTTATTTAATTTTGTATTTGTTGTCATATTGCAAACTTTTATTTGAGCGTGGCTTTTCTATATAATAGATTTTATATGGAGTTACAATATTCATTATTGTCTTTCCTTCGTCCTGTAACTCCACTCTTCCAACTTATCATTTAGGCCATTCTCACTGGTGATTATGGTGGTTATCTTATTTATTTCTTTTAACAAATCACCGCACGCATCACTGTCTCAACTCTCCGTGTCATCCTCATTAGGCAATAATCCTTCCTCTAAGGGTAAAATCTCTTTTAATTCCTCAATATCTTTTTGGATGGCTTTTTTTAGTTGTTTAGTAGTCATTTCCTTTACTGATTTATTGTTTATATATTTTCATTGTTGGGCTTCTCATTCTTGTAATCTTTGCCTTTGGCAAATTCCCTGGGGGTTAAAATGTTCTTCCTCAGAGCAACCTCGTTCACAGCCTCATTTTAATTTGGCTCAATGTTTTTGACAGTAATAGGAGAAGACTTGGTCCTGCTGTCATTCGGCTTGGGCTTCTCATTTGTAGTAGTTGTAATTTCACTTTAATTCGTTATCATAAAATTCTTTGGGGTTTGGGGGAAGTCAAATAATTTTGAGTTCGAATAGATTGGGGCCTGCCTTCTGCTTACAATCTTCAAAACTACACTTTTTATTTGTGGTCATTTAACTCCTTAATTAATCGTTCAGTAAAATTAACGGCACCGCTGTCAAGGACTATTAATTTACGGCGGATTAATTCTTCCAAGATTTTGGTAGTAGGCAATCTTTCTAATCAGCATTGGTGACAGTCTGATTCTGGGTTTTGGTTAACTTGATTTTTTATTTGGCCTTCGGCAACATTTTGTGTTTGGCTTTTTATTGCTTTAATCATAGTAAAAAATTATCTTAATTCAATTTGTTTAATTTTACAAAGGGGCAAATTATCTCTCCCTTTTATTTCTTCATAAGTAATCAAGACTGGACGATTGATAAAATTGAGTGGAGCCTCAGTTAGAGTGTGTAAAGTAGTGGCGTTTTTTAAATTGTAATCTTGACTAAAGGCGTAAAAATAATGACCGGGTAAGCCTTGTAAACTAAGGCGGAAGTAAGGGTTATTATTTTTGTCAGATTTGGTTTCGATATCTAAAATGGTAGTTTTAATTTGGAGTTGGGGCATAGTAAAAATAATGGGGTTGTAAATTAGGGATGTTGAAAATCAATATCTCGGAATGGAATATGACATTGGGGAAAATATTCTTGGGCAAAGAGATAGCACTAACAATAGGAGGATATTCCCCTGTTTCAAATTTAATGGGCATATTTTTTTTGACTTTTTTGATTTTTTAAAACCTCGTGGCCTCTCAGCCACGAGCAAACATCCCCTAGGCCTTGTAATAAACTATAACTGAACTAAATAATTGATCATCTATGGTGACCCATGTGTTTGTCATGGGCCAAATGGGAATCCCTTTTGATAAAGGATTGGAACAACCTCCGTCCGTTTTTGTATAGGTGGACGGAGGGATAGATTTAACCTTCTATCCAGGTTCTTGTAGGGCTTTTAGCCCATATTTTGCCCACTAGTAAAAAAACTAGCGGGCGATATTTTGCGATGGGCCACTCATGTCTGCCCTCACTGTCGCTTTTAGACCCGTTTAACGAAGTATGGTCAGCGTGCGACTAACGCCAAAACTCGGATAAGTTCATTATCATGAGTTACTTTCTTTATTTACCAGAGGGAGGGAACCAAAATAACAAAAAAACCCCTGATTTATCTACCTTCAACATCCATTAAATAAGTGATTGTCCCTCCTTCTCTTTTAACATAAAATGCTTTAGCATATCAATTTCCTTTGCCAAAGTAATAATCGGCTTTTTGGTCTAAAGCATTTTTAAGAAGATAAGGAGTGTAGTATCTAAATTCGTCTGCAAATGCTCAGTTCAAAGACAAACTAATCGTTTTTTGTTTAATATTCATAACATTCTAATAATTGAGATTCTGAATTGGTTGTCAAGGCAGCCCGTAGTTCTTTAATCATCTGCTCTTTGTTTTTTACTTTATAATCCCCTACTTCTAATTTTCGCACACTATCCAAGGAGCAACTTCAGCATAATTTCCTATACTCAAGGGGAGTAT